GGTGGATGTGGCACTCAGCAGTTCTGACATCCCACTGGAAAGAATTTATTGAAATGGTCATCCATAATCCAAGGAAGAGTGGGGAGTAGCCCAGCTGAGCAGTCATGTTTCAGCTACAGCTCTCTTACTGTGGCAAGGGGAAAACAGATTTTGGTGGACAGCTGTCATTCCCATCCATAGTCCCAAGTGCCTGCCTGTGAGTGACTTACAGATTTCATGAAAAGAAAAAAAAAAAAAGCATAAATTTGTCTTAGGAATTAATATTGCTTTCAGAATTTTTAAAATCTTCTCATTTTTCATGTCACATACCTAAAATTTGATCTAAATAAATTTAAAGTAAAATGAACATATTTTAAATAATGGTATTTCTTAAGCAAATAAATCTAAAATGATATGTGGTTTAGATATTATCTTTATCTAACTATGTGGTTCTTTATCAGGATCCCTGGGTAGTAGAAGATTGCTAGGATCTATAATGAATAAATATATGGCTGGAGTTGATTAAATCTGGGACTATAGCCTTGGTTATAAGGGCTCCTTGATGATAAGGTCTCTTACTTGTATATTTTTTAAAATTACACTTTTAATATGATGAGGGTTCTGTACAGCTTTGAAAGTGGCAGGAAATGGCCTGCCTCAGTGGAATGCACTAGAAGAGTGGAACAGTCCCACCCCTTGCATTATGCAAAGTGCTGGTTGGGCCCTTCTTATAGCAGAGTGATCCCTTCTGAGCTTCTCAACTTGAACGGCTTGGAGAGGAGTTGAATCCAGTTCTAGGACTGTCAAAAAGTATAGCAGGAATTTTTAAATAACGTGAGGAGCTAAGATTGTATATCCTTGAAGTCTAGAGAGTATTAAAAAGAAATGACTTCCAGAAGTTGGAGACCAGTTGTACCAAATTCCAAGACAGTGTTGTAAGTTTGACATGAAGGTTTTGAATTATATATAAGTGATAATTTATTTGATTATGCATTCTCCTGCTGTAAGAGTTAGATACCAAAGAGGAACTACAATATGTCCACTTCTTAAAGTCTTTTAAAAAAGATTTATTTAGTCTGCTGGGACAATACAGTTTCTCCTGCATGAAAATGGGAATGGTGATACATTTTTTAAGGTTGATTCCAGTCTTACAGTTGTGTTTTGTTTTAATATACAGCTCCAGAATGGCAGAAGATGATCCATACTTGGTACGGCATGAACAAGTAAGTTATCATATAATACAACCTCATTTATAATTTTATGCAATTATATTCATATTTAAATATATAGATATCACTAG